CGCCAATTATCAAAAGATATTTACAAAGTTAGATAAAAAATAAATTTCTCAAATCGTCAACGAATTAAATAATGATTTTGTAAGGAAGATTAGTCATCCGGCTAATTACAATATAGAACACATTATTTTTTCGATATTAGAACGAGCTAGTCGAAGCAACTTCGAAAGTAAGTTGAGAACGGTTCGCTTGATTCGACGGCAACATCGGGTCGCGTACCAGCAATAAATATAACACGGTACCTACCTCAGATCTACTCTTTATGATATATGCGAGATATAGTTATAGCGTGCAATAGTTTGCATAAAGGATCGCAGCAAGTATAGAGAAGCGGAAAAGATTGAGACGCAGAAATTTAAAAAAAGAAACATTTTACAGTTAACATCATTAATGTTAAAATATAATATTGGCATCAGGATTGAATTATTGAAACGATTCTCTTCGATAATTAGAAACAAAAGCAAGCTACTTAGTATATTAAAAATTGATATTATACAAAATTATTAATGTTAAACGCGCCGCGCGCTGTTAATAATTTTTTTTTTTTTTAGAGTCAATATCATTTTGCTTACATTACTGACCTTGGTTACACGAGTTGACAAGATAATAACGACGAAGGTGCGACGTTTGCGCGAATCCATTAAATGCGTTAGTTACGCCAATGCGTAAGAGCGGCGATAAGGTCGCGGCGATGTTAGCGCAGATACGCCCGGTATCTTTATTACCCTTCGCGAGACACGTTGCTCAAGTTAATGTTAATTGCCATTTTATCTTACTCAGACGCCTGATATTTTGACCGCGTGATTCTCGCAAACTTTATAGTGCGCAAATGAGAGAGACAACAAGAGAGAAAACGCTCGGTTCAATAATTGAGATGTGCCTTGAAATGTTAATCCTTGAGAATAATATAGAAATAATTATAGAAGAAATATTAAAAAATTTATCGTATAAGAAATGTCAGATATTCTTACCTTAAAAATATTCTCGTTTTTGCTTCATCTTTCTTCGTGATCCATCGAATTACACGGATGTTGACTTGACACCGATAGATCGTCGCAGAAAACTCGGCGTAACTCTATTAGTAGGAATGTAAACAGAGAGGGAAGGGAGGATTACGGCGACGTACCAATCCGTAATATTTGTTTACTCGAGCTCGTGCGCCATATATGTATGTACATACGCACATCGTATGGCGACGCCTCGCAGCAGAGGAAGAGATCGTCGCCCATGGGAGAACGAGTATGCCGTAAGTAAAAACAACGTATTCACGAGGCTATATCGGATTTTATTCCGTGGGTAAATCCTCGAATCTCGGCGGACCCGTGTCTCCGTCTTTGCATCTCAGTCTTTCGCTCCCTCGCGATTCTCGTCCCGTGTGTGATAGTCCTTAACCCTCCTACCCCTCCTAACCCTCCTCCTTCTTCTCGTCGTCCGCGCGCGCTTTCACTTCGCGGAAAGAAGTTTCGGGAGTTACGGCGACTGCTCGTAAGCCGACGAAGACGATGACAGTCCCGGTGCGTTTTTCTACCGACGAAGGTCATTTCGTCGGAGAAACATGGATGCCGGGGGTTGCGGGCCCACCCTAGCTACTTCGTTTCATCTCGTTCCATCTCCTTCTACAACCATCCCAGTCTCTCGTTTTCCTGCCACGTCTCGCCGAAGCTCGTCCGTATTCAAATGTTCGGTCGGGGATGCACGGAGGCGGACGAGAACCGAATTACCTGCCCTGAATTGGAGAACGGCGAAGAGGCGGGGGAGAAAAATTCGTTGTTACGAAACGAGGCGAAAAGAAAGTAGGACGTCTCGTGGAAAGAAGATTCCCCTTTTTATTTCTTTTTACGAAATAATATCATGCGGTTCAAAAATTTATCCAAATGTATTGTGTCCGATAATTTTAATACGACATATGAGACAAATCACTGTTGCATTCCCTTTTGTTTAAACAAACGCGAAAGCAGAAAGAATAGAAATTAAATATATATACTATAACTAAGAAAAAATATTTTCTCCGCAAATATTATCAAGAGAGTTTCTCCATCAATATACAATGTATTATTAAATATAAAAAGAATAGAAACAAAATTTTTCTGAACTCTTTTCTGGCCATAAATGATATAGCGATGTTTTAAAGAAGTTCGGCACGCTCGGAGATTTTTGAGGAAAAAATGTCGTATGGCGCGTACGAGTGATAAGATTACGGAAAAAGATAAGTCGCGGAAAGATAAAACGCTCTTTGTACATTGGACTTGCAATTAAGAGGAATTTAAAGCAGTACAATGAGATCTTGCTGAGATCTCGAAGAAATATCGATAACATTGCACTCGCGACTATAATTAAAAAACCGGCGATAATAATTAAGACAACATTTAACTTATCACGTACAATATGAATCAATATAATTGCGATATAATTAACGAATTACTTTTCAAGCGTTATTATTCATCGGATCGTAATAAAGTTAGCGTCATTTTCTTAAATCGCGACTGTTATATATACACATAATGGGGAACATACGGGCTGTGCAACATCTTATAACTGCTGCGCCATTAACGGCACCACGATCATTGTAATATACGTTTAGTTTAGTTTAGCTAGCGCACGAGGGTGGTTTGCGAGCCACCGACCCCTTGCGTGCCAGCCGAGGGTGCATAATTTATCGCCGCGTCCCAACCACCGTAATGCAATACGTTACATGCTTGGCATGCATGTGGATTCCACATAGGTTATCGATGCTCCCTCAATGTCCGAGGGGCATAACTAACTATCTATAAATAGCGCGATCATGTATCGGCATTCATTGCCCGTTATCTCTCCCTATTTCGCCTTCTATTCAACAACATAACAACGCGAAGAGCAATATAAAAGCATATTGTGACATTACGAGGTATATCTTTGCCGCGGATATATTTTTTTTTCATGTCTACGCATAACCCTAGAATTTTTTTTTTTTAAATAAAAGAACTAATTTTAAAATCGTCAAAAATTGTTAGATCGTGAACCGATTGAAATAAAGAAATTGTAATCGGTGAACTCGCGTAGGCAGGGGACACAGTTCCGAGACACGTTGCTTTTTAGAATAGAATTGGTTTTTATTGTGACTAGATTACAAACGGGGCCTTTAACGGCGCTCAATATCGCCCAGTAGGAACGTTTACACGTAGTGAGTGAGGTGACAAACGGGAATGAAGAAACATTCTGCGTGACGTTACGGATCACCCACCGCAGGGACTGGGATATGTGATTACGACGAACATTTGTACGACATTGGGATTCATACAAAATAGCGGTCGTTTCTTACGCCTATCTTACGTGACTATGTCTCGATCTCTCTACGGCGATCGGCCACTCGCTATCGACTTCCGAAGTCGATCGATTCGTGTCGTGTCGTCGTCGTTTCACTCGGTCGAAATCTCCCCTCGATGCATTACCACATTCCCCCGTTATATATAATAATTTATACAATTATCCATGACATCGACGCGCGGCATATAATCATTCTATACATATGTAATATTTTTGGGTTTAACTTTGGTTTTGGTTTTTTTTCCCACAACAAGTGTGTGGTCTATCAAATAATAAGCTACTTATAAAAATAGGATATTTTGTCGGTTACGTTAACGCTTCTCTAGTTGCACAATCAAAGGATATACGTATAAGTTAAACGCTGTCGCTAGAACGATAAGAGTACGAAGAGAAATCGACGGACTTTGAAAAATCCAATTGCACGCGTCGCGCGAGGATACTGTGAATATTATTTTAATAATTATTCGACGATACTAATCCATATTTATAACGTACGCCTAATCGATAGGATACTCCTTGTTGCATACACTGTACAATCCGTATAATTCGTTCGCTTACTTACAGCCTACAAGATTTTTGGTATTCTGTTTAAATAATCGTTATTATCATCATTACAATGTAACAGTTTTTTTGGTATACAGTTACGCCCCGCGCATAAAGAGCCGGCATTCTACTATACATGTATCTACAGAATAGTGAGTACATGATCCGCGACGGATCTTTGCTAGAAATTAACCCCCCAAATTTTCATGTCGTGTCGAAAAAAAAGATTATTAAAGCATGCATCGTATACAATTAGCGCATGTTACGTAACTCGCGAGGAAACATACTTTTTCTCGTTTCTCCCAGCGAAATAATATCACACGTATATTTATTGCGACATATATACAGCATCGTTAATAATGAATATATAATATTTGCCGAATAAAAAGTATTAGAAAGAAAATTGGGGGGTTAAACATATTTTTCATCGCGGCGGAAGTTTAATATTTGTACTCCATCAACGTTTATTTGCCTTGAAGAATATAGTCCAATGAACTCGCCGAACTTGTAGTTTGCCGAATACGACCGACGTAGTTGATTGCTCGCGTAATACCTCATATTTACATACAACATAAGCAAATGTTCTCGACTGTAAGTTCTGTTAACCATTGTATTAGACACTGATTCCTTACCGTTTCTCTCATTCTCAATTTTCGCAAAGATTCCGATAACGGAAATTATCAGTCACATCGGTAGCTTTATAAAAAAAAAAAAAATATTTTCAATTCTTTCATACAAAACTTGCATTTGTCCGATTCCAATCGAGCACTGATTAACAAATTGAAAGTGTCTCTGTGCCTTTATGAATTTTATAAGAACACATAAGTGAGACACGTAAGACATTTTTGCGGCATATATATTTTACAATCAATTTCCCGCAGAAATACGAGAATTCTAGTAAACATACTAGAATTATAAGCATTATTTTTGCAACCGGTTTTCGTTGGAGATACAAACGCGATCTGCGAGCCATATTTGTTTAGGCGTCAAACAAGTCGACATTTGACGGAACGAAACGAGATCTCGCGAGAGGATCAAGGCAACGCTAAAACGGTAATTTAATAAAATTCTACTGGCCTCAATCATCGTCCCGCGGCAAGGACAGCGTCTGCGAACCGGATGCGATCGGTGGCGTCGTCCAACAGTCAAATAACGACGGCCAGTAACTAGTGGCGGTGGTCGCGTGCTGCCAATAGCCGGTCAGTCCGGTACCACTTCCGGTGGCTGTGCCTGGTCCACCTACGCCGATTCCGACTCCCACACCGATACCACCGGCGGCTGCCATCACCTGCTCGGGATTTACCATACTGCTCGTCTCGATTACACCTCGTTCGTCCACTTCCAACTTCTGGTCCGCCGCGGTCCCGTCCTCGTCGTACATGAGGTAATTCGGATGCGAGGTCGTCGACGAGGGCGTCGACGACAGCGTCGGCGAGGCGGCGGACCTAGGCCTGGGTCACTCTTGCGATCTGAGTTGATTGTCGCTCGGCTGGCCGGAAACTGCGGCCGTCGCAGCGCCGGATGGCGGTACCACCTGATTGTTACCGCTATTGCCGCCGCCGCCGCTGAGGGAACTTCCTGAATTTGGATTCGTTACGCTGTGATGATGGGGGCTAGGGGTAGCCCCCGCTTCGCCTCAGACTTGGGCCCTGGCGGTGGCGTTAGCGTGCGCCTCGGGACCACCCGGAGAATGAGGATTCGTTCCGCCAGCTGTCGTTAACGCGTATTGACAGGCGCTTAGACTACCACTGCCGCCACCACCGCCGCCACCGCCGACCGACGACGCT